AACATCCAAGAAGGTTAGTTCCACCAGTCTGGTACTTTTAATTACCATGTGCCATGTAGATAAAGCTTGGGCAAAGACCAAACGTTCTCAGGTCAACCTTGCCTAGACATGTATTATATTCCTTGAGCTAGTTACTGGTTGGCCCACCAACCCAGCCACTGAACCTCTTTCTCAGGGTTAGCAGGAGTTTAGTATCTTTTCTTTAACTGTTTGTCCCTCTCTTCTGTTTATCAGTGTATCTGAGAAAGTATGTATATGTGTGTCTGTATGTGTCTGTATGTCTGTGTGTTGCCCCTCAGAATTTATACATATAAATTTTAACCCCCAAAATGAAGAAATTTATCTGGGGCTGGTAGAACAGGCCTATAAATCTAGCTACAGGAGACTGAGGCAGGAGGATAGCAGATCCAAGGCCAGCCTGAGCTGCAAAGTGAATTTAAAATCAGCCTGGGCAACCTAAGTGAAATCCATTTAGCTCAGATTTTTTAAAAGGGCTGGCCTAGGGTATAGCTTAGTGGTTGAGCATTTGTCTAATGCATGAAGCTCTGTGTTTAATCCCAGGACTACAAAAAGGGGGGGGGGGATTTGAAGAAAGTTGTTTGAAAATCCAAATAAGCTTGACAATATGCAGTCACACTAAACAGAAAATGAATCAGAGTAGGTTTTCCTTCTGAATGTTGTAAACTTTGAGACTAAAGTGACCATGCTGCTCATTCTCCCTTCACATACAAGCACTGGAATTATTAGAATATATTCATGATTACCACTCTGATTTGCAAGTAATACTGAGACCCAAAGCCACCATGTAGTGCAGAGCAGACGTGTATAAATAGCCAGGCCAAGGTGGGGGAAGATGACACAGTCTGCTGGCCAGTGAGGTGGGAGTTAGTTCTGTTTCTAAAGGTTTGGATTATTACTATATAGTCTATTTGAATGCATGTGCCAGTTAGCTTTCTGTTACTATAATAAATATCCAAGACAGTCAACTTACAAAGAAGGAAGGTTTATTTTGGCTCACAGTCTTGGAAGTATCAATCCATAATCAATGGCTCTGTTGCTTTGGAGTCTGTGAGAGACAGCACATCATGTGAGGATGTATAGAGCAAAAATCCCTCACTTCATGACTGGGAAGCAAAACAGAAAAAGAGAGAGAAAGAGACCAAGATCCCATAATCCTCTTTGAAGACGCATCCCCAAAGACCTGAATACCACCCATTAGGTCCTACCCTTAGGAGGTCTATCGCCTTCCAGTGTTACCACACTAAGGACCAAGCTTTTAACATGTGGATCTTCAGGAACATTCTGGATCCAAACTATACCAGTAGCTGTCTTCTTACTTCCGATAGCTTCAGCCATCTGGTACAGATTGATGCATTCACTTTGCGGATGCCGTCCAACTCTGAACATGTTCTCATTTTTCATAGGGAGTGAAGTTGACGAGGCCAACGGTATAACTCAGGAGATGCACTTCCTGCAGCAGTGTATGTATGTACAGGACTGTGCATACAGGCAGTTCCGAAGACTTGTACTTGTGAATGTTGCTTTGATGCATATTTTATTTTTTTACAGGAAAAAATATGATATACCTTTTTAAGTGCCTTAAAATGTTTTTAGCAAGAGCATTATTTCCCAAACATGCTGTTGGTTGGTTACCGCCAGGGGTGGTACAGTATCTTGAACTTAATTTTTTTCCTCGCACGGAAAATAGTCATATTAAGAAACAAGAAGCTAACGGGCTTCCCCGTACCACTTTTTGTGCAAAACAACTCTGCGATAGTTACTGTAGTGTTTGAAATGCGGTCACACCATCAAGAGACTATATCCTTCTGATGACAGCAAAAAATTCCGAAGTCTTATTCGTGCACACTTTGACTCGCTGTGCGATTCTTTTTTTCTACAATTGTGACATGCCTCTTCCTTACCAACTCAGCAGGGGTCACAGATCAACTATGCTGAAAAGCACAAGGCACCTCTGCATTCCTTGACATCATGTGTTTAGACATTCCTTCACATAATTCCCCTGCCCCAGAAACTCTTCTGTCCTATCATAAGAGAGTGTGGTGTCATGTCTTAAATTTATTATAGGCTGCTTCAAAGAAAGGGCCTGATGTGTGTCTATGAGTAAAGTGGAGTATTGAGGTGAACTGCAGGGTTTAGTTCGGGGGTTTTAATTACATCTCAATGTTGTTTTCCCTTTTTTCTCATAATTTGTTGTTTCCCAACACACCTGCACACTCACAACAGCCAAAGGTGACATACAAGAACATTACAATCGGTTTGAGAGCAGCAACAATTAACAATGGATTATGTTCACATCCGACTACTGGGACCAAATTCTTTTCCTGTTACACAGATGTTCCGAACACTTTCCAAGCTGCCCATTTGCTGGAAACAGCCTATTACTGTTACATGCTTGGAATGAGCACACTTAACATTTGAAACAATTTATCAATGAGAATTTCCTTTGCTGACTTGACAAATGTTTGCAAACTTTTAAGAAATCAAATCATCTTCTCTTAGGAATCACTGCAGACGTAACAGTCATGAATGCAAGTGAGTATTACAGATGCCCCTTGCCTAGCCAGGTGTCTGGAAGGTTGGGTACAGAAAATGCAGGATCATTCATTCACCAAAATATCAAGCAAAACTAATCCTGAATCAGGCACCAGCTTTCAAAGCAGTATCTGACACTGGCCTCTACTGTGGCTAGAAGAACTTAAGCTGGACCCAGATGGGAAAAAAAGCAATGTATAAGTGAAGGGAACCCCTTTTCCATGTTCCCTAACATTTTCCTGTCACTTTGTTTCATCCGTTCTTGATGACAAATAAAATTAGCATCCTGGGTCTCACTGAGACCCTGCTGTGTCTTCAACAGTTACTGTCGTCGTTATTGGACCCACAACAAAAATTCATTCCTTCACATTTTCCCAAGCTTATCGATAAAACTGACATTCCTGTTACTTCCAGGCCTTATCTTTTGTTAGACTCAGAACCTTATAAATTCAGCAGACCTTCCAGAGATCCATGCTGAATAAGCTGTAGGGTATACTGTTGGGAGAATTACTTTGTCTAAAGTAGCATGACTTGGCTTAACAATTGGGGCGCTTACCTGTGGAGCACTGCTCAGCTGTCCTGTTCCTCTTTTATAAGCTTCTGTGAGTTTTAGAGTAGGTGGAAATTGTCTGCCGGAGCTATCATAGCAATCTTTTTATTTGAATATTAGTTTTTCCTTCAACTTATCTACCTCTATTGTCTAACACCTATAGTAGGTGTGATTATGGGATAAAATTTAGCTGAAAATGCTATGATAATGTTTTATCTTTTACTTTAAAAAGTTCTTTTGTTTTCAAATAATCTGATTGACACCGTGCGTTTTGATGGCTTTGGTGACATGTCTATGGCTACTTTTTTACCCAAGTACTGTAGCATATTTTTCCATAGGGAACAAAAACTAAAATCAAAATTTATTTTAATTCATGCTTATTGGAATTTAATTATGCAGCTTAAAATATTTTATTATGTTTACACACTGTCAAATGGCATTTGTTTTGTCCAAATGTATTTATAAAAGAAATGCATTGGATTATACTCATGTTTACTCATTTTTCCACCGGACTTTTTTTAAATGGTTGAAATCTGATTTTTTGTTGTTGTTTTGTTTAAGGAATAGTAATGATAGTCTTTACACATGTTCTAAGTTTTAAGAGTCTGTGAATTTTTTCTTAATTTTTCCCTATTCTGTTTTAAACACCTCTGTTGACGGTCAGTGTTTATGCTAAATACCAAATTGTTTGTAAAGGATGGCTAAGTAATGAAGTAGGTTATTTATGATGAATGGAAAGTAAAAAATAATTCTATGATTAAACAAAGATGATTGAAGAATCTGTGGCTCTTTTTCTGAGGTATTCACCATGCTTTCCAAGGGGATCCTGGATTCACTGGGTGCTGCTACAGTGCTGTTTATGGGGGAACAGACATGCGACATGTGTCAGAGTCCTCCCAGGTACCCATTGCCAGCCCTGCGTTTACCACGCCACACAGTGAAAACACACTTGCCCTTGCTGTGGTAGAGACACGTCTGTAAACAGCACTGAAAACCAGGAAGAGAACAGAAGAGAAGCACTTGGAACAGGAGGTGTGGACTTGAACACTCTTCTCATATTTTTGATTAATTTGAAATCTGGGGGTGGGGGGCTCTGGGAGGCTACTGACTGGGAGGAGGGTATAAAGATGACTAAGATGTGAATGAATACACAAAAATCCAATTAAAAAAAAAAAGACGAAACTTTCACATGCCTTTCCCAAACCCAGGGATTCTTTGATAAGCAAGTTACCTTGTAGAATGCCACACCTTTGTGTTCTTGTGTTTCCTCTTGCTTAGAGTCCCCTTCCCTATGGAAACGACACCTCTTCCAGGAGGCCTTCCTGGGTTCCTGGTCTGAAGCCCTTGCTGTTGTAATGGTTAGTTGGCCTGTCTGCCTCCTCCACTCTGGCATGCACCTCTGTTGCCCTCCATGGCGTTTCCAGGCCTCGTCTCACTGCAGTGGCCAGCATCTAACCCTGAGCTCTACTGTGTGCTCTGTCCACCTGCACATGGAATTTGGGTCTGTGACTTGTTCTGTACAGAGTTCTAAGCACAGTGAATGTTTGGGGATGCACAAACTTAAAACTAAGTGGTAGCAACAGTCTCCACGTTATTTCCCCGTTCCCTGGAATTCCCACTAGGCACCCTCCCCATCTCCACCTACCCTGTTACCAGCTCTTCCTCTTCCCCCCTCTTTCTCTCTTCCAACCCCCCAGGTTCACCAACACATAGGTCAGATGTCTTCTCTGACTTCTTAGATGTGTCTCAGGGCCTCCTCACAAAAGCCAGAGGATGCTGTAAAATGTCACTTCCCCTTGAGGGTGCTATAACCTGATAGATGCTTCAGACTCTCCATTTTCCTCTTGTTCAGACTTACCTACCCCCTTTCCCGAACTAGGCATTGGGTAGGTAATAAGATGGCTCAGCAGGCAACAGTACATGCTACCAAGCCTGATGATCTGAGTGAGTTTGATCCCCAGGGCCCACATGGTAGAAGGAGATTTTTCCACATGCACTCTGGCTTGTGTACACACAGACACACACATACACGTACACACAATAAATAAATGTGATAAAATTAAATTGTCAGAGAGATGCACATTTAAATGAGCTACTGTTTTCAGCCTATGAGATTGACAAAAGACTTTAAATTTTCAAAGAGTGACAGGGTATTGGGAGAGCCACTCATGTCCTGCTAGTTGAAACACAAATGAGATGGAACTTGTAGAGAGCTATGTAGCAGTGCCATCGAAAGGTCAGCTATCTGTGTCCTTCAACCTAGATCTTTCATTTCTTGAATATACTCTGCAGAAAGCGCCAAATGCACAAGAATCTATGGCAAGAATGTTTTCTGAGCCTTGATGAGAATGAAGGCCCACTCAGGCTCCCGAAGTAGGGAAATGTCTAATCAACAGCATATTATAGACTACTGAGATGCCACGGAAAAGAGAAGGTTGGACATGGTGCACAGGTCATCCCAGCACTTAGGGGGTGGAGGCAAGGAGGATCAGGAGTTCAAGGTCATTCTTGGCTACATAGTGACTTAAACTTCATCCTGAGTTATAAGGCCCTGTCTCAGAAAAAGAAAAGAAAAGAAAGGCCGGGCGTGGTGGCGCAGAGGCAGAGGCAGGTGGATCTCTGTGAGTTCAAGGCCAGCCTGGTCTACATAGTGAGTTCCAGGATAGCTGGGGCTACAGGGAGACCCTGTCTCAAAAAGACAAAAAAAA